CGTGTCATGTAGACACTTGTGAGATATTCGGTCTGTAGTAAACCATTTTGACCCTTTGTTATGCAAGCGTTCAGAGCTTATAAAGTCTGTTTATAATTTGCATTGTCTATGAAGTGTTTCCTAGAATATTTACTTATGGATCCTGAGTGAGACGCTTTCTCTAACCCATTTTCTCTTCTGTAGGTCCTAAGGGACCACGGGAGGTTTCGGGGAGACTAACATTTACGGATGGACACGCAAGGGTGCCGCACAACATAGGCAAAACCAGTTAAGTCCGTGATACTATGTCACTCTGCATTTATATTGACATTGATACAATTGTCAAGTACCAATTATGTTCACATTAACATAGATAGTGATGGTCGTCACGACGTCTTCGATGAAAATGATGACAATCTCATCATTGACTTGTTGGGCGAATACCAACCTCAACCTAAAGCTATAATCGTCGAAGCTCCTGTTGGTCCCCACGTTATTACTTCCATCTGCATCGACTATGATCTAGATGTCGCTCAACAGAAAGGACGGGTTGAATTCATCCCACAAAAATAAATTAAATTAAGTTTGATCTAAATATATTATGAAATTTATAAAAATAAATTGAATTCGTCCCACAAAAAAATTTGTACAAAAAAAAAATTTTGCTTGGTTGGTACACGTTACTAATTAGTGATATGTTATCAAAATCTTGCTATTAGCAATTTAGGCTTTTAAAGTCTAAGCTAACGCCTTCTAAATTTGCAGGTTTGGATCGTCAAGAAACCAATTACTCATGTGTAAATATTTATTTTTTTCTATTCAAGATTGTTTATTTTAATTTTTTTTGTATAATAGCGCAAATTATAAAACCAATTAAATTCAATGATACCAATTATTTTGTCATCTCCTTTCCCGCAATAATATTTTACATAGATTATATCTTTTGCCTGATTGAAATATAATTAATAATATAAGACCTTACGATTAAGGATCCAAGTCTTTATAATCTAAACAAGTTTATGCTTTTTAATCTCGTAGGAGAGGGATTTGTATCCTCAATCTAAAAAAGTGAATATTTATATTATTACCAGACTAATCTTTTTTTTAATGTAACCTATACTTATTTTAGGCGTAAATATGTATTTTTTATTCAACCAAAATTCAATTTGAAACATTTTTTTTTTCTATTTGAACTCGTTGTTCAGATTATTATCTAAACTTAAGCTTGTTAGATTAGGAGTCAAATCCGATATAGCCCAATGTTTGATCATTCTCTTTTACCCGTGAATATTTTCATAGTAATCATAAAATTTTTATGCATAATATATAATGCAATATTATAGTTAAAAAAAAACTATTAGGTGATTTAACACATTATAGATGTTGTTTATGACATTAAATGAAAAGCAAAAAATATAAAATATAAAATAATATCTTCATCTAGAATTTACCAGCTCAATAAACAAAATTCCGAAATGTGTATTCTATTAGAGCAAAATATAATTGGAAAATTCAAAAAACTGGATGCAATCAAAGTTTATAAGAACTGATGAAAATAATAGGAGATAAGAACAATTATTGAATAAGCTTTATTGAAGAAATGAAAATGCTTTGATATATTAACATGTTCCCTCTCAAGATGGTGTTCCTGATAAGGATACCAATCTTGGATCAATGTAAAGAATGGTTTACAAACGAAAGACTTCGTGAGTAAGGCAAGAGCAGATCGCTGCTACTGTTGCGATTGCTGTTGCTGTGAGGGCACAGGTGTTCCCTTCGTTCTCCTTAAGTCCGCCCTTCGTTCTCCTTAAGTCCACCCTTCGTTCTCCTTAGATCCACCGATTGTTGGCAGAGCCTATTAGGAATGTGGCTGCAGCTTCGCTTTTCTCGTTGGCCAAAGGCAGGCAAGAGCGAAACTTCACTTTTCTCACTACTCTGATACCATGATAAAAATAATAAAAAATAAGAATAATTACTGAAGAAGCTTTATTGACGAAATGAAAATCACATTAACATGTTCCAATACAAATTAGGAGAAAGGATTTCCCTCATCAACAGAATAGAAGATTTTTCTTAACAAAATAGAGAGATTTCGTTAGGAAATCTTATCAACAATGACTTGTGTGTTTTCTCACAGCATTAATTTTCCTCTGGCAAATGAATTCCAAACGTCCATTTCCAACACTGACACCCTTTCCTTGTGTGGCGATCTTCGCCCGCCATCTATGGCTTGTGATCCAAAAGTCAATCGCTGTGATTGTTGGACCGTGCGTGAGAACATCATCAGGAGAATGGAAAGAACATGGTCGCTCGTTTTGACTTTGACTTCTTTTCGTTTGAATCGTGAAGCATTTCTCCTCCTTATATATATATATATATATATATATATATATATATATAATTGTTTTTCCTTTAAACAAGGAAACGATTCTCCCATTAATATTGCTATAATTTGATTCTTGTTTAAGTATATATTCGATCGAACTCGATTCGGATTATGACTACCGCCGTGTTTGAATGGCGACCTCTCGAACCATCTATTGTGGAGGACTTCTTCCACGTGGACGGGAATAGCTGGTCTTACAAATTTGCGTCGAATGAGGAGGAGTTGCCTCATCGTCTCTTCTTTCCTCTGTGCTCATCCCCCGCTTTGTCTGTCTCCCCATTGCAAAAGATAACGAAAATGACTAGCTCTGGCAGCGCCACCGGGCCCCACGCCCTCTTCGTGACCGCTCCCTACCAAGGTCACTTCGCCCCGGCCGTCGACCTCGCCATCAACCTGGCCGCCAGGGGCTTCGTCGTCACGTTCGCCTGCACAGAGGCCTTCCAACACCAGCGCACCGCCTCCGGTGCCTCCTCCGCGGACCACCGCGACGTCTTCGCCGGCGCACGCTCCAGGGGCCTCGACATCCGCTACGAGCTCGTCAGCGACGGCCTGCCGGTGTCCTTCGACCGCCATTCGCACCCCGAGCAGTTCTACTCCGCCCTCCTCCACCTCCTCCCCTCCCACGTCGACGAGCTGATCCGGAAGCTCCTCCTCTCTGAGGTCCCCGTCGACTTCATCCTCACCGACACCTTCTTCTCGTGGGCGTCCACCCTGGCCAAGAACCATGGCCTGCCGTGCGTCTCCTTCTGGACCAAGCCGGCGCTCGTCTTCACCCTCTACTACCACATGGACCTCCTCATCGCCAACGGCCACTTCGCTTCTCCCGGTAAGGAACGATCGCCATGGCGTTTGTTTGTCTCGTTATTGACCGTTACGTTGTTCGTGGTGTGCGTTTAGAGAATCGCAAGGACACCATCACCTACATACCGGGCATTCCGGCGATCGAGACGACCGACCTCGCGTCGTACCTTCGGGAGACGGACACCACCACGCCCTTACAGCAGATGATCGCCAGGTCATTCGAGGAGGTCAAGAGGTGCGACATCGTGCTGGCCAACACCGTGCAGGAGCTCGAAGAGGAGACCATCGCCGTGCTGCAGCAGGAGCAGCCGTTCTACGCCGTCGGGCCGGTCTTTCCCGACGGCTTCACTGGGGGCACCGTCATGACCTCCCTCTGGCCCGAGTCGGATTGTTCGTCGTGGCTCGACTCCATGCCGCCGAGCTCCGTGCTCTACGTCTCGTTCGGAAGCATCGCCTCTGTCAGCAAGAAAGATTTTGAGGAGATCGCCTACGGGGTCTTGAACAGTAAGGCCAACTTCGTATGGGTGCTTCGACCGGGGAGCTCCGGCTCCGGCGCCGCCAACCCACTTCCTCAAGGGTTCTTGGAGGCGAGCCGCGAGCGGGGGATGGTGGTGCCGTGGTGCCGCCAGCGAGAGGTTCTGCAGCACCCTGCGGTCGGCGCCTTCTTGACGCACTGCGGGTGGAACTCGGTGGCGGAGAGCATGTGGTGCGGCGTGCCGATGCTGTGCTTCCCGCTGTTCTCGGACCAGCCGCCCAACCGGAAGCTGGTGGTTGAGAATCTGGGAATAGGGATGGATCTCGGGGAAATCGGTGAGGTTAGCAGAGGCAAAGTGTCGAGCAGAATCGACGACCTGATGGGAGGGGAAGGCGGTGCAGAACTAAGGAGGAAGATGAAAGAGGTGAAGAAGGCCGTGCAGGGTGCGGTGGCTCCGCATGGTTCGTCGCAAAAGAACTTGGATCAATTCACCGCCGATCTACTCCGACTTATCTCACAAAAGAAGGCATCAGCTGTCACAGAGACGAAGAGGAGTTAGGCATACATAGCCAAGTTTTTAGAGCGTAATTTAGAATAACATGTACCCCTTACAGGTACTTTAAATTACAGCTATTTTCTCCAGTAAATGTGATGTATTATTATTCAGCTCATAAAAAATTGCAACTCAATGTAACATATGGTCATATTTTAAGATTATGATAAATAAGTGGCATCCTTTGTGTCACAACCTTTAATCTAAATTAATTCATTAATTTTGTTTGATCTAAATTATTGATCAAAATATTTTGATTGAAATTGATAATAATATACTTATCATTTTATTTTTTTATAAGTGAATCTTAATTTTACAATTTGAGAAATATGACCACTTTACTCACTCTCGTATCTTTGTAACGCATCGTTTGAGAAATGTACCATCAACCATCGACATAAATGAGCCTCCCATTATCGATCGCTCGGGAATAAAAGTAGACCCCCAAAGCCTGAAAAGAGGGATGTGACCAAAAAATTTCTATTATTCCTACTCCACTAATAATTTTACCATCGGAGGGATCATGTTGGAAACTTCCTCAACCCTGATCATTTGTGCAAGGATCTCAACGAAACCAAGGCTCGAGTTGTCTCCAGAACCTCGAGGAAGCCTAGACCATCTCGGTTCGATGTGGAATCCACCTCGGGCGAACAAGCAACGTATCGATCGAACATTTCTCACTCCAACCACCTCATACGAGCTTAGCCTTCGGGACATAATCAAGCCGTGCCGACTCCCCAATCAAGCGTATCGAGGCAACAAGAAAGTTAAACCACGGTGAACAAAATGAGAAGCATACGGATCAACCGCAGCATACAAAAACAGGGTTGCGAGCTCTACCTAAACCAGCTAGAGAGTGGCTCATCACATTAGCAGATCTACAGAGGTGAGAGACTTCCACCACTGTAAGTCTGTCAAAAAGGTGGAAAATATCGCAAAAAAGGGACAAAGCGTCTGTCTTGATCCGTAAATGTGTTCATTGGAGGAGCTCAGCAGCCTCGAGTCCTTCCCACAATGCCAACACCTCAGCCATCAGAGGGCTTTCTGCCTTGCACGGGCCACCACCGAGCCTAAGGGGTGTGTTCGCCGAGTCCTGAACGGAGAATCCAGTACCGGAAGGGTCGTCAATAATAATGAATGAGCCATCAAAAGTTAGACAGTAACACAAACTTACCTGTAGGACTCCTGCCCCATCCCCTCTAGTCTCTTCGTAGCTCTCGGTACCTGGGAGCTGCATGTGGGGTTACGTCGCACAGTTGTTGCAGAGAAAGATGACGAGGGAGGCCTTGTGAACGATGATGAATCCGGTGGGCAAAGAGTTTTAGCTGGCATCACATGTCGGCTTGTGTCGTACCTACTCCACGGGATGAATCCGGTGGGCAAAGAGCTTTAGCTGGAATCACATGCGGCTTGTTTCCTTCCTCAGGCAATGCCCTGCATCGTCATGCGTGGTGACAATTAAGTACGTCATTGCCGATATGGTTGACTGCACTGCTTGTGAGGTGTTTGATGAATTGTCAACCCAGCAGATGAGACCATGTGGTGAAATGGCTTCGTAGTACGTGCGCAGTTGAAGAAGCTGTGGATGGAATGGACAATGATGCTATTGTAAATAGTTAGAAAATTCTTTCTTAGCCACACTGGTCTATCAATCACTATTGTTATCGTTACCATCATGATCGTGATCATATTTGTTGTAATATTCAATTGTGAATGGGATGACCGTCCGTCGTGAGGCGCGGCGTACCGAACAGGTTTCCTGGTCAAAATCCATCTCCAGCGCGCAGCGGCCATATTTGCCTGCCTTTTCCAGAGTTGAAATCACCTGCTCGGCTGACCATCTCAACACTCAAAAACAGCATCCTTGATTTTTCTAAAGGAAAATTGGGTATCAAATACTTTTTATTGTCAGTGTATAACTAACTAATACAACATTTTATGGATCAAACACAATCCCAACTCTCCCCCACTGGATGCTAAAGAGGACGTAAAAGCTACCACTCTGCAAGTAGACCAATTTGTGGGTTCACATAATGAGAGTTCATCAACGGGAAAGGACATATCGCATAAAAAGCAGTGTTTTCCAAAGAGCAATTCCACTGCAAGTGCAATCATGGTGCCGATTCCCACAAGACAAATTCTACGGCCACAGAGAAAAGGTAACTACTGTTCTTCAACATAATTAAGAAAATAGCACGCATATGCATCCATGTCGAGAAGAGAGCATAAAAAAGAAGCATTCAGAATGCGTATATATTATTCCAGTTGCAGGATCACCAAATAAAGTCAAGGAACCGATGTAAAGAAGCATCAGCAGATTGCCCGGTTGCTCTTGAGGCTGTCACAAGACCTCGAACAATGTCTTATGGTTCCCCACCAAGCTCCACCCGCAGATTGTCATATGGATAAACTTTGGGTGCCTATGAATAGCAGCAAAATAACATTAGGAAGACGCCACAAGTTAAATAAAGAATCCACTTTGGCTATTGTTAATAAGCTCCTCATTTACAAATCAGCTTACTCTTGTAGCCAAATGAATGTTGTCCTCAAGTCATAAATGCATGATTTGCACTAAACTAAAATGTCAAGAAAGAAAATGAAATATAAACAATGTGCTCATGAGGAACAAGGCTGTAACACCAGATGCTTATCAGACGTAATAATCTGATAAAAAGTTAGTCAGGACAAAATACAAATCTTCACTTAATACATTAGAATCCAGTGCAATAAACTAAAATGTCAAGAAAGAAAATGAAATATAAACAAAGTGCTTCTGAGGAACAATGCTGTAACACCAGATGCTTATCAGATGTAATAATTTACTAAAAGGTTAGCCAGGACAAAATACAAATCTTCACTAAATACATTAGAATCCAGTGCAATATACCCAAAAGTATTTCCAAACCAAATTAAAGGTGTTTAGTTTTCAGAATTTTAAACTCAACCAAGCGGAACTACGGAAAAGGCTGAACCAAAACCAACAGGAAATTATTCTGCTCAGTTTGGTTTCACAATTACTGTTTCCTAGAATACATATGAACACTTATGAAGATAAAATATATCTTTTAATAATGTTATAATTAAATATATGATTATGTGGTACCCAAGATACTTCTATATGAGATTTATGACACCCTAATCATAAATTGAGTTTGGTTCAAACAAACTAGAAACCTCAAACTCAAACAAACTATAAACTATCCAACTCCTAATTTCAATATTGCAATCAAAGCCGTCAATACAAGAAAACCAAACACAAGCATAACATGCCAGTTTGGTTGATTTTCTTGGTTTCATCAACTCCTGCACAACCCTACCCAGAACCTTGCTCCAAGAAAATCTGATTATCAATGAAAAAATAACATATATATAGTCTGGGCACAAAATCATTAATTTTGACACCTACTAAAGTTGCAGTCGCACAACATGGTGCCCAATTTGCAAGTATCCATGCTACAGATCCTGTATAGGAAATGAAAGTTAGCTTTGACTATGCCGTAAAAGATGTACTTGGAATTGTCTACTGCTCCTATTGAGCACAGCTGATCCAATCTTAATGAAAAACGACATTATCAATTGCATCATTTGGGAGATTTGGGTACACAGACATATGGTTCTTCTGGTGTACTTGTTTGGTCATTGTAATATTAATTCATTAATAACCAGTGATATAAATGTCAGAGCCTCTTCTTGTTATCTTCAAAGGGAATGAAGAGAGTTGCTAGTCACTAAAATAATCGAACCCTCATCATACATGCATGATCAATTCATCAAGTGAGTTACTTAAGTCAAGGCAATCCTTGGTACCATGTAATGGTTGGACCTTTGTGCATTGGTGACGAGGGTAAGTCGCACACATTAACTGATCCCAAACCTCGCTGACGGTAGCCTAGTACACTGGACTGTCCTTTCTCACTCCTATTTAGTCATATCACGATCACAAGCAAGATGGAATTACCATTACTAATAATTGATTGTAATACTATATAGCTCCGATACTATACAGCTCTGTAAACAAAGAGTTGAGTCACTTCTATCAGGACACACCATATACCATTACATTAACAATAATACTGTAATAATGGTGGCACCAAGTAAACAAGGAAAGGATGTTTCTAGCCACTAACACCTGTGGAGACCATATTTGCAATTTATTTAAGTGTATGAATTATCAGTACATACATGTACAATATGTATTAAGGGGACAAGAACATATGAAACTTAAGTAAATATACGCATAAGGTTCACAACCCAATTATAAGCAAGCTTGGGTACAAAACTTGGGCGGGCCCTAAACCAAAAACATATTAACCCGACTAGATCTTTGGTCATACTCAGGTTAAAGCCTAAGCAACCCAACCAGCCTTTTCCAATCTAACACAGCTATATTGGGAAGAACATGACCATACTTTAGCTTTCGATGTCGAAGAACTCCAATCCCCAAATGTTCTTTTTCTTCTATGGCCTCAAAAGCATTTGATCATCTTTTGCTGCAACTCACGGAATAGCCTGCTCTGAACTTAGGTCAATGGAACTAGGACAACAATAAGGTCAACTCACGGATTCAACCACGGTTAGAGTTGTCAGGATAGTCCTCTGTTTACATCTAACCTGCTCCACCTTTCCCAGATTGCAGCCCTACATTCAATAAGCAGTCTAGAACAAGACATGATATAATGAAAATATAATCATCTATAAACTACTCTATAAACCAACTACAGAAATATAATGATCAACTCATCAACCATCTATAGTCTAGGCATTTAAGGGTGCAGATTCCACCTATGTAGTAAAGCACCACCCAAGCAGCTGTCTCGTACAAAAAACACTCCAACTCCTTGATAAGACTGATACACGAAAAGGAATTACAAGGACAACAACAAAACCTCAGTTTGGCCCTGATGTTGTTTCTATGTGGCATGGTCTGTATGGTACTTTTTTTCCTGTTTGTGAAGATTCAAGCTGAGCCCTCCGCACAAAACCAACCTCAGGTTTTGTGTTTTTACCAAACTTCAAGATGTACTTTCACATTATTGTTAAAACTCAAATTGTACATGAAAAGTTCTAGATACGTGGTTCTTTATTTATTTTTTATCCCTTTGGTCATCTTAGTCCTCCAAACCTTCTTCAAGATTATATGACACGGAGAAGGATAACTGTGGACAGGAACGCTATGCTGCTCATGGAATCTTGAGATGCATGAGGGTAGCAACAATTATCTATTCTTTCAATTCAACAGATACTAGTAGTCTTCTGATGCTTTTATAAGGTTCCACACAATAATAATGTTTGCTTTTAGTTCCAAGTCTTCCTAATATAAGTAGGAGTCGTCCTGAAACTCCGGAAGACACAAAGGGATCCCCAAGTTTCCCAATGAACATCAATAAGACTAGTATAATGCCATCGATAGGGTTAAAATTTGACTCTGATGCTCGAGAAAATCTAATTGATGTAAATAATCAATACTCGAAACTGGATGTAGATGCACACTGGAATCCAAGGAAAGCCAAAGGACTCACATAGGGTATCTTGGACGCTTTGTCGTTCCAGACAGCAAGCAAACCGAGCGATGCGAAGAAGCTGAGCCCTCCGCATAGCCATGCCAACGCTTCGTACTAATTAAAGTGTCACAGAATGACATACATATCCATTTCGCAATAAATAAATAATCAAAACAACAACAAGAAACAAAAACCCTAATTGTTAGGAGGATGAGCGCACCTTTCCTACGGTGGGGGCGATCCGATCTATACAGGGTTCCGGGAAAGGGGTACCGTTGTCCCAAAGCAGATCGTGGTCAGCCGGCAGCTATCAAGCCAAGATCGAGAATTTGATGGGGAACAAGAGAGAAAAGAGAGAAGGGAAAGGGAAACAAAAAGGATCGGGGGCGAAATTTTACAGGCTTGTCGGGGACGATGTGCTTGCCGAGGGGGAAGCCCATGCCGGAGCGCGACCGAAGGGCGGAGGCGGCGGATCGGGCCGCCACGCCGTTGCCGCCCATGATGCGAGACGCGACGCCGCTCAGTCTCCCGGCCATTTCTCCCTCGCGAGCTTCTCTCCTTGCTAACGACTGGGATTTCGTTTCGATCGCAGAGGCTTGCAAACCATGGGTGTCTCGCGACGGTATTCATACTCGGGTGCCGCAGGTAGGGCTTTACCGGATCCGTTGCGCACGTAACACGAACCGATAAAAGACCACGGGGTTTTCTCGACGTGGATCCGGATCTGTAATTTCGGGTCGGGTACCGGACATTTGCCAGCTTAACGGGTCTAGTTATTTTAGCGGGTCCCTTGGCACAGCAAGTGCGACATCGCCGGTATTTAATGGAAGGGAGTACACATAATAGTGTATTATTTTTTTCATATCCAAATTTATTCGACTTCCTTAAAGTAATACTTTTACGATAATTCAAGACAAATTGAAGTAGAAAAAATAGATAATCAAATCGAATGTGAGTTTGGATAGAGTTAGATAAAATAATAATAACATCTTTGTCTAATCTTTATATTTAGAAAAATTACAGTCTTATCTTGGTGAAAAAAATTAATATATCCAGTCTTATCTTTATATTTAGAAAAATTATTTTTAATATTTGAAAAATTCTCTTCCTCAAGGAAAAATCTTCTTCAAATTAAAAAAAAAAATTCTCTAAAACTTTTGGTATGATTTCTCTAATCAAGTGAATTAAGAAACAAGAGAAACTGGTTAGTGAGAATAGAGTAGAAAAGCAATTAGATTTTATCACCATGTCTTCATCACAGGTGACCTCTCAACCACGCAAAGTCATGTAGAAAGCACATTATAAACAGCAAGCAAAATCATTGGAAGAAGAGAGACTCTGAAGACAGTACAGACGAACATGGGCATAACCTAAGAGTTCACCACAAGTTCAACTCGAAGAAACAGTAGAGCAGCAAACAACCAAGCACTTCAGTGGTCACACACATGGAAAGTTCAGAGAGACACATCGGGTCGTACTAACTCTTAACACCTCCAAGTTAGAGTCAGGCTAAGCTTCTTCAGCATATGCCGGTTCAAGGATCTCGGACTCGGCATCCTGCACCTCCTTCTCTGTCTTCTTTCCTTTCTTGGACTTGTAGTACACACTCATAAAAGTCCCGACTGCACCATACTTCTGACGGCAGTGCTCATAGTGTGACCCATCGAACATCCGCCAAAAGTTCTTCTCGGTGAGCTCAGATACGGCATACTGAGGCTGGAAACTATGGTTCTGGATCAGCCACTCTTCAAGATTGCGGACTGCTTTGGCACCATTGAACTCCTCACCCCTAAACACAGGACCCGGGGCATAGTACACACCGATGTCTGTGAACATTTGGGCATAGCTCGTGTCCCCCTGGCGGTGATGATGCTCGAAGCCTGGCTCTGGGTACACCATCGTTTTCACGGGAAGCTTAAACAATCGATGGGGACATAGCCATATTGGATAAACCTGCATAACATCAAAAGAAAGCCAATTTAAGTTGTTCTGTATGTACTATGTAGCATGCATCAACAAAAAGAAGCTTGAATTTTTTGTTTTCTATACATAAACCAGTTTCTTAGGATTAAAGATTGAATAGCATGATGTGGAATTCCTTGAACACCTGATCTAGGAGTAACATTTAATATGTGTTTGGGTTCAATCTATTAGCAAGACTAAAAATTTATACTATTTATCAATCATTGGCATTAGTTCTGAGACTAAACAAAATCATATCAATGGTTGCTGAGTCACCAATAGGTACCTCCATTTCATGATGACAATACTCGAGAGCCTCCCCAACTTTGTAGAGAGGAACCAAGAGATCCTGGATCACATGCATCTCATGGTAATAGTTTCTGATTGCTTCACCCTGTGTGGCCTTAAGCAAAGAAACCTTTGGTGGCATCATCCAGCCCAAAAGCCATCTGAACCACCATTGGTCTCCGAATGGCAGAATCAACTTGCCTTCCCAATACAAACACCTTGTGTGCCTATGGTAATACTCTCGGGTGGGAATGTACTCCACAAACTCGCCCCTCTTGAGTGCCGTCTGTGCATGCTGATAAAACCAAGGTTTAAACCACCACCCTACATTGTTGATGACATTGCCCTTCTTCTTTGCTTCTTCCTTGGAGGCATACCTACCAGTCATGTGCACAGCCTCGGTTGGAGTGTAGATCATTCCCTCGACAAAATCTGGAACTTTTGACGGATCCCCATCTCTGGGTGCAAAAGAATCAGCGTAAGCCTGTGCAAGTTCCTTCAGGGTTCCCCTGTAGGGGCTATAGGTAAGCCTCATATATTCCTTAATGGGAATTAGTTTTATCTCTGCAGAAACTAGGAGACCCAGAGTTCCTTGAGACCAAGGAATCCCATAGAAAAGGTCAGAGTACTCGTTGTCCTTTGTACACCTCACAACTCGGCCATCAGCAAGAACAACTTCCATGGCAACAACTGTGTCAGAAAAGAGCCCATAAATGTGTGAGCTCCCCTCGATTCCATAACCATTAATAAGTCCACCTACAGTGAGATCATCAAGTTCGGCAACTACCGCAAGTGCAAGGTTCATAGGAACTGTATATCTAGTTATCTGACCCATATTAACAAGAGGCTCCACCTTAGCAACCATTCGCTCTTTATCAACCTCAATAATGTTTCTAAATGCCGAGAGATCAACTTCAAAGTGTCGTACACGTTTATAATCAACATTGCGCATGCCAACAGCAATATATGGTTTCCTGGCCGTGCACACAAGACCATCTTTCTTGGGATCTCTCTGCTTGAGGCGATTCACAACTTTCTTAACATTCTCCTCGTGTTCCTTCTGGCGACGCTTTTCTGATTTCATAGCAGATTTCACATCACCTAGAAATAATTTGAAGTAGATAAAGCAAGAGGCTGGAAGCACAACAAAAATGACAACAATCCATCGGAACTGGACCAGATAGTCCACCAAAACTTTCTTCCTTTTGGGTCGCAAAGGTGCTTGTAGATCAGACATGCTTGGAACCTGAATTTTGACAAGACAAAATGGTGAACAAACCGTTTGATATTCTGTCACATTTGAGATTGAACTGCAAATTACAGACAAGCAAGAATTCATAAAGTAAACTAAAAAAAGTTACATTCAGAATAACCAGTGAAGGGAAAGAAAGGGACTGCCATGCAGCTGAAAAGTCCAACTTGGCTCTTCTCCTTATCACAAAGTTTGTCTTCTCGATATTTCCTTTAGGATAAACATTGTCTAGTAAACTCAAAGCAAGGAAAGTCCTAACAACCGACATAACACAAGAGTCTGAAAGTTCCCTTTCAATAAAAATCCCAAAACTGTATCATGAGCGAGAAAACTATTTGACTATCTATACATTAATAAGTTTTAGATAGTGGGTCATGGAAAGTCCTTTCCTGCTTCGTGTATCATAACTCAAAATAATGTAGCAGCTTCGGAATTTAAGGAGACTAAACCTGCAAACTTCAGACCCTTTCTAGGGCCCATAATGGTTGGAGTTAAATACACCAGACCACCCAACTTTTCATACAACAGTAAACATTAACCGAACTTTCCGCAAATGTAATTGATATACATACAAGTAAACATACAAGTAAAAGGATGATACATGCATATGGTAAAGAAGACTCATTAACCTAATCCATATCTTTTGTAGGGTGTGACTGTTGAGATTATAGATCAGGAAATATGAGCACAACAATGTGAAATCATGCATCGGTTCGAAGAAGCCACCAGGTGTACTGGATAACTCAAATAAGCAATCTCATTCAACCAAAGGAAATAAAACCCACAGTGATTACTTGGAAAATATCCACTTAAAAAGCTGGCATCAAACGTTCCGCTTTCTCGTTGATAAGCTTGCCACTGACCATGCAAGAGGTTCTTAGACGCCTGCACGTTTAATCTACAAATTGCTCCAAAAGAAAAAAGGGAGCAAGAACCAATTGTTCATGAACAGTGGAGGTTCATATCAGAATGAACATAGAAGACCCTGGGGAAACATACAAAATAAGAGAACATCTAATCATCATCACATTTTGCTAGTGTGTGCTAGAGTTTTTGCAAGTGTTGTGGTCGATCAAAAGTAACACAAGTCTTTAACAACCACATCTAGATGGACTTTTTCCTACTCACAGGTTAAAAGACATGAACTGGATCACAGTGAACAAGACCCAGCAACATCACGCAGCGGACAAAGATTCCAAACAAGTGCCACCTAGAAAATAAAGAGGAAAAAAACAAAACCACTTGAATAGTTGCCACACTTGATGTCTCTAGCAATTGAACGTTGTACTATAAGTTAAAAAACACTGTTTTTGATCTATAGATCTGAGGGATGACCACTGATCTCGCAAGGGAAACTAAGATATTGACAAAACCACTTAAATCCCTCCGTCAGCTACCTTACTTAGTTGGTAAGACCTTGACAGTTTATCGCAAAGTACTTACTCGAATCTCACAATCATCACTTCCCCTTTGCAAAATAATAATAATAATGATGATGAGCTACCAAATTTTCACCTTTTTTTGGAGGAGAAAATAAACAAACTACTACAACATTAGCATGAATTGGTAGACTAGCAACTATATTTACTGAACTATGCACAGAAGGGGGTAAACAACAAGTATCTAAGGAAAAAGGAATGCTTGCCAAATCAAGGACGTTCAAAGAAATAAATGATGCCGGATTCAGTTACTCAAACAAAAAAGAAAAACAGAAAAGGGCAGAACTTTTTTCTTTTGCGCAGAAGAAGAAACTAATTAAGTAAATCGATAGACTTTGACAGATGAAACAAAGTTGAAATTTTGATCATAGCGTGAGACACTACGAAGCACGAAACCGAGATTCTACTCTTGCCAGCGACAATTACGCCACAGGAAAGTAGTAACAGAAAGATCCACACACACACAAAGAAACAAACAAAAAGGCAAGATTTTTCGCAAGGTTTCTTCAAGAGGAGGAGCAGGGGGACCTGATGGACGAGGGACGAGAAGGGAGCGAGGTACGGCCGCCGAGGCCTCTGTGGAAGTAGGGATGGGGCCGGCCGAGGCCTTTGGAGATGAGGTTAATATAACGAGAAAAGAAGCTCATACGTTGCGCTCTGCAGGCTTTTTAACGATCAAATTTCAAATAGCGCGGATGATATCCTCAATGATATACACAGGCTGTTATTGCTGTCTTTCGATTTTTATATTATTTAAAAATTATATTATTTTTTTTATATTTTTATAAATATTTAATCTTTTTTTTTATCGATTCTAACGAGTAAAATGTCTAATGGTAAACCGAAGTAAGATAGAATATACTCAATAATAAATCCTACGATATTTCTATCGATAAAATCGACGATGTAAGGATAAATAAAATTAAATATTTTTATTTTTATAAATATAAATATTTTAATATAATTTAACAAGTATATAAACTGATATACTAAATATAACTAATTATAAGGGTAATCTATAATTAGTCTCATCAATATGATCCTATGGTTAGAATATTCCATGTCTGTTGAGATATTTTATTATTTATTATTATTATTCATATTTTTAGATAACAAAATAATGTTTTTTTTATAAGCTTGAAAATTTTTTTATAAGGGGTTATTCCCTCCTTGATGATACTTTGGGCTATGTTTTTTTTTTGTTCTATTAAATAATAAATATTTTTTAAAAAAATTATAATTAACTTAAGTCTAAGTATTTAAATTATTAATATCAATATTAATTTAATATTGATCTTGACGAGAGAGTCGAATAAAAAAAATTACTCCTGCACCATAACAAGATGACTTTAATAGATTTATAAATAGTAGATAAACGTTGACTTGAATTTAAGCATTTTATATTAGTGGATTCAGATTCATCAAGTTAAAATCTATATATAAAAGTTATTCATTTTAAGTGGAGTATATATTTTTGCCTGTGATTTGGGCAAGAGCATTAAATGCTGAAAATACATATATTAATAGGGTGTTATTAGAAGATCATGAGTTTGAGAGAGAGAAGTTGTTCCGATCCATATGAAAACAGAATTCATTGATAAGATTTGTCATCATTTTTGTTGTTTACTTAAATCCAGATCTAAAAAGGCGGGATATTCTCTGAAATTATTATCGATCAAAAGTATTAATAGTTTCCCAAACATATATATATATATATATGTAAGAATGGAAGACATCTGGGTAGCATGGGATTATTTTTATTTATTCTCACTCCTAAACCTTTACTGATAGTGATTGTAATTTAATCTAACATTTCTATCTGTCAATCACAAGCACCTTGATCATGCTTCATACCCTGTATATAAAGATACTGTTTTGGCTAGGTGAGTTAATTACCTATTAACTCTTATAATTAGTTATTATATTGAGAACTTTATATTTATCAAAGTGAAAGATTTAATCTCGTTTCTTCTTATATCGTCGGATTAAAAATACTATACATAGTTAATGGTAAATTAAAATGAAATAAAATCTAAGCATATGATCAATGATAAATCATGTGATGTTATCATCAATAGAATCGACGAGTAGAAACGAGAATAAATATTTCACGACTTTTAAATGCATATGAATGTAGATTTTAAATATAACTAATTATAAAAATAATTTATAAATTTATATAAAATTAAATAGTAAAATAAGTATAGATCTGCTTTTACTTAGATCTTCTATAGTATTATAATACAACCACTCCAAAGCAGGATCTATCTTTATGGTGAGTGCAGAGGTAGGTATCATCTCTCTATCTCCTACTGTACTCCATATTATTTATCCCACAGCATGTGGAGGAGGAGGAGCTCAAAAAGAAAAAGGTTTGCACCATTAGTGGAGTTGAAATATGATAATGTTAGAGTAGTAGACCTTCTACTGAATAATGTGTACTCCAATGTGGCTCAGCTGAATCAAACCTCAGCAAAGATACTCACATGGCAGCTTGGCATGAATAGGTCGTGAACTGTTATGCCAGGAGAGAGAGAGAGAGAGAGGGGAGCATGCGCGGTGGAGAGGTGTTGTCCGGCAGATGTTGTCGGATCTGACGAAGGGTTTTGAAACTCGAGTTAGAGGATGCCATGTGAACTCTCTGCCTTCAAACGAGGACAGTACTCCTCGGCATTCTTTCAGATCTCTTTCTCGAGCCGATCACGTCGTCGGAATCAATCGCAGCGCCATTTCCGGCCTTGAGAACGAAGACCCGTGACCGGCTTTGGATCTTCCATCCATCTGGTTATGTAGTTCCTGCAGATGCTTGCGGGTTTAAGAGCTTGTTTTAGTGTGCCGAGGAATAAATCTATGGATTCAAATGGGGATTGGTCAAACTAGATCTGAAACACTTGCACTCTTTTACTCCGTTGTTCCCTCTGCTGCCTCACCTCTCTGTGTCGCTTCAATGATTACTATATGTCCTGAAACATCATCCCCATGTGTTGAATCCTCCTCGGTCCTAAGTTCATGCTGCATGTGAGATTGTATTGATTTTTAGCACACGATCTCTCCACTGCATTTGAGGAGACAGTGACTACAGTGTTTGAATCAGATCAGATTAAATCTTGTTGAAATCACAAGTTGTAAAAAGCATTCACTCTAGGAGGAATTGGCAGATCAAACTACTGAATTGTCTTTTTATTTGGATGATGCACACATTGTTTTCTCTCTCTCTCTTTCTCCCTCTTTCTCTAGGAAAAGCAAACAACTCCGTCAAAGCATTTCCATTCGAGACTACGTGAAGTAATTTTCTATACTAATGCTGGACATATAAGACATGTTCGAGAAGGATAAACTATTCGATTTCCTCGATGGTTTGAAGCCATGAGCTCAACAAGAACTACATCGAAGGAATATCACCAATGTGATCGGGGCAATTGCGATCACAGAAAGACTCATCGACTTTGTTTCCTCTGAAGACTTTCCTTTGTATCGTCTATATAATACTCCAATTCATTTATACAAAAAAAGAAAAAAAAATAATGATCAAAGATAAATATGATATTTAGCTCAATCATACCCGACTCATGAACTCAATCATCAAACAACCTTCCCCTTCCAAGGTGATGCCATTGACGGTCCGGTGAGCCCAAAAGCCACACCCAAGTCCTGCAAAGACCCCCACGGCTCATTCTCGAATCTATCCACACAAGCATCGAGTGGGAGGAATGCAACTATGAACGGTTCGAGAAGTCACCTATCAACCCTTACGTCAAAGAAACGTGACCACTGACCAAATTAGATCGAGCACCTCAAGAACATGCGTTACAACCGAGTCAGAAGGGATTCATGAAACTTGGTCGGTCATATGACATCGAACGCCAAAAGAGAGAGTCTTACGTTAGGATGAAGTCAACCATGGCATGTACTTTGTACCAATATAAAAGGCATAGTTGGATGTGTCCATTCCAACCTGTTTGCACTGGAAGTATTTTGTGCATCACGCGTTCACGTTTGACCACCGTGGCAACACTGCAGCGTGCACACAACCACCAACCTCGTTAGACTTCGCACAGGGTTTCGATTGCTTTACGTCAAGACGTGATTAGTTCTCTGGCGACGTTTGACGCCTTCAAGCTTGCTGGCTCTCATGGCCGCGACTGCCTGGCGAAGACCATGTCAAGACGCACCCTAGTGGACATGGCAAGTACGAAGAAGGAACGAGAGGAGAGGAAGGAAAGTGTTTGTTGGCTTTCAAATGAGAAAAATAATATATATATATATATAGTAGAAAAAAATGAGAAGCATTTTCAATTTACAGTACTTTGAATTCATCTTAATCAAAAGGATAAAATATACAAATTTTAAATAAAAAAAATCAGAGCCCAACAAATCACCTCATCCTTATCTATTCATAAAAAAAATCAATTACTCATCTATTTATTTTAATCTAAATCATTATCTAACTCTAACTATTTGAATTAATTTTATGATATCTCTTTAATAAAAATAGTTATAATTTAAAATTATCTTTGAAAAAAATAAAAAAAAATTATTTCTCTAAAGCTTTTGTAAAAATATTGGTAAGCAATAGTTCATTTGAATTTTTCCTTCAACAACAAGTCAAGTTTATGAATGAAGTAATGTCAAACTTTGTGTTTGGTACACTCGTAGAAGATACAATTCTTAGTCATTATAATGATGGTCTTATTATCACAATAAATTTTAGTTGGTTCATCTTCTTTTATCATAAATTTGTTGAGATAGTTTACTACTCTATTTTGCATTTTTAGTCATTACAAATATACGATTCTTAGTCATTACAATGATAGACTTATTGTCACAATAAATTTTAATTGGTTCATCTTCTTTTATCATAAATTTGTTGAGATACTTTAGTTTCTCAAGTAATACTTTTTCTTTAGCATTACTCTCTCAAGTAATACTTTACTACTCTATTTTACTGAGGCGTATAGCTTATAGTTTTATGTGAATATATATATATATATATTCTTATAAAAAAAATAAAAAAATTATTTGGAAGTGAATTCACCCCCTCTATCACTACGTAGAGTTTTAATAAAGTAACTATTTTACTTTTCAATATATGCTATGAAAATTTTGAAAACACATAAGGCTTCAGTTTTATCTTTCAAAAAATATACCCATATCTTCCTTATCCAATTATCTGTAAATAACAAAAATATTTACTTTCACTTTGTGCGACAACTTCTATAAGCCCGTAAATATATGTATATGTAAGTTTCAATTATTTTTTTGCTCTCCAATAATAAAAGGAATTTTTATATTATTGTAAAAAAAAACATAAGATTCATATATAGTATCTTTATTCTTAATTTTAGACAAATCAACTATCATATTCTTCTGATTTAATAGTTCTAGTCCATCTTAATTCAGATGATCATATTTTTTATGCTATAATGTTAATTCATTAATAACAGTAATAGTAAATACAATAAATTAAAAATAATAAAGGAAATATTTTTTTTTTGTCATCCTTACTATCAAACTTTAGTTTTCTTATCATAAATTAAATATTTTCATCATAAAAAATAGTGTAATATCATTTTCTTGTCAATTGTCTTATACTAATGAGATTTTATTTTAAACTATAAATAAATATCATATTATCAATAATTTTTTATCAGATTTAGTATTCACAATAATCGTTCATTTCCTTTCCACCTAAATCTTATTGATATCTTATATTTGTACTATAGATCTGATTGAATCATTAGGCCTTTAAAATAAATTTTTGTTCCTTGTTATATCATATCATTAGTGCATCCACTATGCAAAAACTAAATAAATTTAAAATATTATTTATGTCATAAAATAGATCTAAAATGTTACTCTTATTTTCTTTATGATAATTTATTTGATTTTTGTTCAACAATCTTTTTCAAGATGACCATATTTTTTATAATGAGAGTAAAGAGAAATATTTAAATTTTTATTTTTATACGAATAATCTTTTTTTAATATGTCTATTTTTTAAAAAAAATTAACAAATTTTATTATTACCTTCATTAGAGTTCTTCTAATTCTCAATTAATCGACCTCATCCCCTATCTTGAATATCAAATAGTCCATGGCTTCTACCATTCTAACTTTTTTTTTTTTTATCTTTCTTTTGATCTATCTTCATTTGAAGAGAATATTCTAAAATTTCATCAAAAGATCTATTTATTTTTTGTTTATGAACTAAAAGTGAATACATTACTTCATTAATAAAAAATATACTTTTATCTTTAACTTTTTCTATAACAATAAAAATCATATCAAATTTTAATAATAAACTCTATAATATTTTTTATAATTTTTTTGATCTTTTATGTTTTCATCATAGAACCTGATTCATAATAGAAAAGACTTTTAAGAAAAACATAATGATAGATTTAGAATCTTTAAGAGTTTCAAATTAACGTCTAAGAATTCGAAGCTTTGAGGTTCTTTCATCATAAGAGTTTCAAATTAACCTCTAAACATAGTTTTAATATATTTTTTAACTTTTTTTTTATGTTGATATCGACACAATTTAGAAAAATATGAACTTATCTATTGCTTGTTGTAGCATTTTAGAGAGTTTTTATATCTGTTTACATATTCTCATTTATTTGATATTTTTTATTTTTAATAATATTAGAATCCTATATATTATACTCAACAAAATTATTTCTTATCAGATTTTATAATCTTTTGAAATAAATAGAGTTCTCATCTTCACAGTTCAAAATGAATAATTTTCATATTTAAAGATAATAAGAATTTAATTAAAAATACGTACTCTGATGTCTATCATTTTTTGGATTATAATTTTTAATTAACATACTATTATTGATCTTCTTCAAACCAGCAAATCCAATATCTAATTCCTTAGATTTATCGAAGAGTACATATTTATATTACTTAGAAAGATAAATTATAAATTTTAAAATAAAAATAAATCAATTATCCTTATTTATAATAAAAAAATTAATTACTCATTTATTTATTTTAATCTAAATCCTTATCCATATTTTATTTTATTGTGTCTAATCAAATTATTTGAATTAATTTTATCAGTGTTTACATCCGACAGAACTCGTCAAAGAGAAGTGTTTACATCCAGCAGAACTTGTCAAAGGGAAGGATGAGATACCTCAATATGTCCCCTTCTGCTTATTTATAAGCATGCTTAATGGCGCTTTCATACCCACACCCTCCTTCCTTTCTTCTGCGGGGAGGTGCCGGAAGCGGAGATTTGAGCTCTGCTAGCTTAAGGTTCTGATCTTGGGTCCTGCTGGTTCTGTTTGGAGTAGGGACGTTGGATGTGGGGAGAGATGGGGAAGAGGCGGGAGGCGCTGCTGCGGGTGGTGGCGGTGGCGGTCTTCGTGCTGCTAGCGACTGCGGCGGCGAGAGCGGAGGAGGAGGGCCGCGGTGGTGGGCGGCGCCACGCCTACGCGGCGATGATGTACATGGGGACGCCGAGGGACTATGAGTTCTACGTGGCGACGCGAGTGATGATGCGGTCGCTAGCGCGGCTCCGCGTCGACGCCGACCTCGTCGTCATTGCCTCCGCCGACGTCCCCGTTCGTTGGGTTCGAACCCTGTAAGCCTCTTTGCCTCCTCCTCTTCCTCCCTTCCTCCCTCTCTGTCTCTCTGTCTCTCTGTCTCTCTCTCTCTCAATCGTGGATCAAACGGTGGAGGTGGCAGTTAATGATTATCGAACGGCGAGCATAAGAAGTATCGATCGGATATTTTCGAGCTTCGTTTTCGGGCTGGCTTTTAGTTGGTTAGCACGAAGGCGTTTGACTTCGGGTTTCGTTGACCTTGTGGAAGAACGCGTCGTTGTTTCTAATTCTTTATATTACCCCTACATCTTCTCGAAATTAACGAAATTACCAGACCGTGGAAATCGTCATGCCATCATCTCATCTTATTCTTCACCATTAGAAGCACATTAAAAGAAGTCAACGTATCCAATCTTGCATTAACTTGCTTGGGTCATTCATCTGACTCCGTAGATTTGTGCATGGTCGGCGTGAATAAACAACAGTAAGGAGGAGGACGCGGTGAAGGTGGTGACCGTGGAGAACCTGAAGAACCCGTACGAGAAGCAAGGCAACTTCAACACCAGATTCAAGCTGACGCTGAACAAGCTCTACGCATGGAGCTTGGTGTCGTACGACCGGGTCGTCATGCTCGACGCCGACAACCTCTTCCTCCAATCCACCGACGAGCTCTTCCAGTGCGGCAACTTCTGTGCCGCCTTCATCAACCCCTGCATCTTCCACACCGGCCTCTTCGTCCTCCAGGCACGATCCTTGCACTGATCCAGCTACTAACTCTTGCAGATCTTCCAAGCTCAGCTCTCTCAGTATCTCATTCATTCTTGCATGGATTGCAGCCTTCCATGGCAGTCTTCAAGGACATGCTTCACGAGCTACAGATCGGACGTGAGAACCAAGATGGCGCAGACCAGGGGTTCTTGGTCAGCTACTTCTCGGACTTGCTCGATCGGCCGATGTTCCACCCGCCCGCCAACCACACGAAGCTCCACGGAACCTATCGACTCCCGCTGGGATACCAGATGGATGCCTCCTACTACTGTGAGTTCGATCGGTCACCCTTCTATATGAAATCGTTCTCTTCTTGAACGATCGGATCTGCCTGTTCTTATCATAGATTTGAAGCTTCGGTGGAGTGTGCCATGCGGACCCAACAGCGTCATCACCTTCCCCAGTATGCCATGGTTGAAACCTTGGTACTGGTGGTCTTGGCCTGTTCTGCCACTGGGTCTCCAATGGCACGAGCAACGACGAACCAGTCTCGGGTACGATGCGGAGACGCCGGCAATGCTGATACAGGCCGTGATGTACCTCGGAATCATAGCGGTCACACGAATGGCGCGTCCCAACTTGCTGAAGCTGTGTCACAACCGGCGATCGGAGAAGAGCTTCATCCCCTTCCCCTTCCTGCACGCCATGGTGAAGGCGACGGCGGTGTGTTCCATCGTCGTAGCGCACGTCGTCCCCTTCTTCCTCGTTCCCCGGACGGCGCACCCGCTTCTTGGCTGGCCGCTCTACCTGCTCGGAGCAGCCGCGCTTTGTTCCATTGTGATCAGCGTCTTCCTGCTTCCGCCTCTTCCGGTCCTCACACTGCTGCTGGGCATAGTTGGCTCCCTGTTTGTGATGGCATTTCCTTGGTATTCAGATGGCATCACCAGAGCTCTGGCTTTGTTCGGCTATGCCTTCTGCTGTGCTCCATTTCTGTGGGCATCACTGACGAGAACTGTGATCTCGTTGCAGAGTCTTCTGGAACGGGAGGCCGCCTTCCTTAGATTGGGAGAATCCATGCCGCTGTCCGAGTCCAATAAGCTGTATTAAGTATTAAGTTGCAGCAGAGAGAGAGAGACTCGATTCTGTAAAGATTTGAGCGGATTATCTTATTCATTTTATGATCTCATTCTTTTATATACCTGTATCAGTTGTCTAATCTCCCAGTAAAACTTGAAATGGAACTTTTTCCTATACAAATCTCATGAAACATTGCAGTCGACAATAATTTGCTTAGATGAAATCACCAAAAAGAACAGAGCGGGCTAAATGCACAAGCGAACTGAAATAAGAGACTTCACCATAACAAATTGGAGGAAGAGATGACAGCCATGATCAAAGAACCATGATCCTGCTTTTGTTGAACCTTCAGGTCTCTACATATGGTGAGGAGGAAGAGGAGGAGAAGCTAAGGTACAATTTTAATGTGTCAAACAGACAATAATAGTCGGATAATTGAGAAGACTTGAATGCCACATTGATCAAGCTGCAAGGTATTCATTCTCAGCGCTGGACTCAACTTTTGACATCAATTTTTGGCAGAAGAGGCTTATCATCAAGAGATACTCCGGATTCCGAAACAGCAATTAAGTCTTCAGAATCGGCAAAAGCAGAATTATGTTCTGTACCTGCAGTGCCCATGCTGGTGGCCTCCTCAAACCTAGACGAGGAACATTTATATTCAGGTTGTTCCGAGGCCTGCTCAGTTTGAGACTCCAGAGCTGTATCATCAGCTGTTTTACCTTGTTCGGCTTGATCACCTTGCTGAAGTCCATAACCTTCCATTTGAACAGCACCTAGCTCATACACCGCATGCTGCAGCAGCTCATGACACTTGAGGCCATAAAACAATGGCTGTGGAGCTTGAGGTGGATAAGCTGATGGCTGGTTGGGAGGAATGTAGAGGCTGATTTGCCCATAAACAGAATGTTGACCTTGGAACCTCTTGATCCGAGAAATATGTTTCTTACCAGACAGATGACACTTGAACACCGCTAGCGTATCACACATTACGTTGCAGAGTGTGCAGACCCTGGGCTGTTCCTTGGGGTGCATCAGAGGCCGGCTTCGGACTGGTTCAGGTCTTCTCGACCGCTTTCCATCATGTCCAAACCTCATCGTCTTCCACTTTTGGCCATACCTCTTGTCATACCTGTCAAAAGCATCCGTTCTTGGTCTCCTTGTTCGTCCCTCGATAGATGATGCCATGATTTCTTGTTCATCAAACATCGGTGCCTCACCTCTGGCTTCCTCCTCCTTTGAAGACTCAGATTTCCCTGATAAAACAAGGACTTGGATTTCAGATTCCATGTTGTGATTTGTTAGCATGGTCTTTGCCCGCAAATTTTCTGATGCGGTAGAGACTTGGTTTGCTTCTTTAACTTGAGCAGGAATGACAATTTCTGGTGTATCAGAGCTTTTGTTTACTTTTCTATCCTGAGAAGAGAAGATTGTGGTTGCCGCTTTTGCGTCGATCACTTTGGTAGCTTCATGGATTTGATAAGGCAACATCGCAGATGGCACATTATCTGATCCAGCATTCGCTACTTCGATTGCTTGCTGGATTTGAAGGTCTATTTCTGGCTTCGAAGCAACCTTTGCCTCTAATTCTGCCATGACTTTCCTCTGAGCTTCGATCTCTTGAATTCTTTGCACTGTCTTCTTATGTCGCTTTCCATTCTTGTGCTGTTCTAAGTTTTGAAAACTATTGCAGTCCACCCTACAAACATCGCACCAAGCAAGCAGGAGGAGAGGTTGCCATGGTAACATTTGTGTTGTCTCTGTGGCCAGTGCTGTTACCTTTAATGGTGTCTGCCCTGATGCTATCCCTGGCTCTGCAACTGATGATGATTCCATAATTGGTGCAGGTGCAGAATCAAGAAGTTGTCTTTCAGGAACAGACCGATAGTATCGCCTACCACCACCATTACCTACTCGACCTCGACCTCTACCGCGGAAGGAACGGACACTATTGTCATACTTGGAAGGGTGATAACTGGAATTGCCTCTGACAGCACCACCAATAAAAGGCTCGCAACCTCTTCTACTTCCACCTTTGTATGAAGATGTGCCGCCATCAGCGACCTGCAAAAGAGCTCCAAAATAATTTGGAGTATTGCAAATCTAAGAAAGTATGACTTATTCTGCAAGATTAACTTTCCTACACAAAACCAAATCTAAGAAGAACACAAGCAACAAGTTAATGGAAGGAGATAGGAGACAAGTAAGGAGTTGCATGGCAACAATATCCTAGTACAACTCAAATAATTCAAAACTATGCATTATGAGCTAGATAAAAGAATTTAGATGGAGATGCTGAGGGTATAATCATCACTATAATTGTAATAAACACATGGAAGGAAAGTAATACCGACAGATTTTATTGACAACATAGCAACACAGGGAAGAACTCATTTTTCCAACAGACACAAATGTAGACAAAAGTAATAGCTAGAAGATGGAAGATCTATCAACTCAATTGGGAATTTGGTGTGCAACGAAGGACCTTATTGGTGAAGAGGCAGAGACAAAGAGTTTCTACTCTCGATCAAAGCGTGAAATTGGACAAGAACAAAGAAGATAAAATAAGATGAAATAGTGCATACCCCTGGACGCACCCAGACTTCCCTGTGGTAGCCGCTCGGCTGGTGGTGTCGAGGCCGACGTTGGCGACGATGTTGCGCCATCGACAGCTGTGGCCCGCCCTTGGGGTGCCACCGCCGCTCCTGCTTCCCGGCCATTGCTCGCTCCGCAGCCTCCATGGTCCCGGCGAACTGCGTGAGCTGCGAAAATGCGGTCACGGCCGCGGCCGCCGAGGGGTTGGGCTCCGGGGCCACGTGGTACCCCGAGGACGACGGCCCCGCCGGCTGTTCGTGCAGCGGCGGGTTCGCATGGGCAGCCTGGTCGTGGTTGTGCTGGGAGGGGTCATGGGACGGTGCTGCTGCCGCTGCGACGGTGGAGGCAAGGTCGGGATAGGCCAGCGCCGGCAGGGAAGGCGGGAGGTAGGCGGTGGCAGAGGAGTAGTCGTGGGGGTAATAATGGGAGTTGTAGTGGTGGTGGTGGTAGGCTGCGGCGGCGGCGGCGGCGGAGGAGGGGTCGTAGTCGTAGTGGTAAGTGTAGTAAGCTTCGTGCGCGTGGGACTGCGGGTCGTAGGTGGACTGGGGTAGTTGTTGAAGGTGGTGGTAATCTTGGTACACCAATTGTTCGTGGCATTGCGGCTGTTGCTCCTGCTGCTGGGCTTCGGCGACGGCGGAGAACACCATGGCCGAGGACGCCGTGAATGGAGCAAAAGACGTTCGCAAGTCACCGATGAATAATAATAACAATAAAAATAGGAGTCCGATCTTTTACCATTCACAACCCCATTAAAAATTTAATATAAAAATTATTTTTATTATTTACGATCATACTGATTTTAATTTTATTTTATTTTTTTCTCGTAACCCTAATAATTAGGCTCATCCTACCATGCTCATTGTGATCGATCTAGCCTCAACCTATGCTTTATATCGATCGTTACTCTCTGGTCTGCCCTCCAATCTATGTTCCCCGTCAATCATCGCCCATAGCTTGTGCTCCTCATTGATCACTAGGCTCAGCCCACACTTTATATCATCGATATTTTTCCTTCCGTCGTCACCCATGTCATCACCATTGCTACTAAGCTATGGATATCGTTGTCACCAATATTCTCTGACGTTGATGGCGATCCCCTCTAACATCTCTTGGACAAAAAATAAATAGATGTTAAAGTGAAAATTATTTTATTAAAATTAAGTGATAAATAAATATATATATATATCTATTTACAAAGAAATATCTTAGAAATATTAAAAATTCTTAACACGAGATTGTAACTAATAAAATGGACGATAAACCCTAATCTCATAAGAATGAACGATTTTACACTAACATCCTTCGCTAGTTTGGAAATAGCATATTTACTCCTAATTTTATGTTATCACATGCATCCCTATATAGTCCTTCAAAATTTTAAATTTTAGTACCTCGACCAATTACTATTCGTGAAATAAACTTAAACTAATTAATAAGTCTCAAAATATTAAAATTTTGAATATAAAAATATTTTATCTTAATCACCGATTATTTAGCTCTTTATAAGCAGCGCTTTATTTAGGCGTCTTGAGGAAGCCTAAATAAGATCACATGGACGGAGTACACCATGGTCCAGGACGCGACACCACACTTGTGATTGCGCGTGAGCATTTTGCGTAGAAGGGACGGCGTGCGGGTAAAGATCCCAACTCATCGCCTCGAGGGGCGTGGGATTCCCACGTCAGCCTCACCTTTGTCCGTTTCTTTCTTTTCGTGTTGAGGACCGCTGGCACAGAAAGAGTAGCGAATCCGATGATCAGGACCGTTTATTCCATGGACCCTTTGATGGGACGGGCGTAAGCACACTGTTCCTTTCTTCTCGGATCTGCACCGTCCGATCCATGATACGTGGGTTTACCTGCGGCCAACAACGGACCCGATTAGATGAATCATTTCATCTGTCCTATTCCCTGTTACTGCTACTGAAGAATTGAATCATGCAACACCAGGCTATTATCTCTTGAAGTGATCAGTTGCTCAGGACCATTTCCTATGGAATCAAACCAAGAACATGAAAAGGAATTCTTCTCTGCTTTAGAAAAGTAGTGATTGAATCTACTTTTCATCTGAAGTCAAGACTCTCGAATGAAAGTTGTGTGCTTTCTTATCAGAAACCTCGGTTGATGTGAGCTGCGAAAGGAATACCAGGGAAAAGTGTGTCATGGCTATACTCAGGTGAAGATGGAGCCATGCATGTCAAGTGGGTGGTCAAACTTTTTCTTAGATAGATAGTAATTGCAAGTGACTTTTCATCTCAGTATTTTTCTGATTTCGAATACCATTTACTTGATTTAAGATTCCAAAGTCACTTTAGCTGTCATCTAGAAGATAACTTAGAAGATAAGATTTAAGAAAATCTTTTTATTCTGTTGAGAAAAATTTTCTATTGAAAAATCCTCTATTTTGTTGAAGAAAATTATTTTCATTTCTCTAAAAGGAAATCTCTCTATTCTATTGAGGGAATATGTTAATGTATTGAAGTATTTTCATTTCTTAAATAAAGCTTCTTCACTTCTTCAATAATTATTCTTATTTTTTATTATTTTCATTAAAGACAGTTTGTTTAATGAAACTAAAAAGTTAAAGAATATAAACATACTGCAGGCTAACTTTCTCGATAATTGTTTCAAGATAATAATATTGAAGTCACCAGCAATAGAAGTAATGTAATCTTAAGATGCACACGAAATGAGTTAGTATACTGCATAGAGCCATCTACATGAAATCTAGGCATCAACTAAGCACCGCAAACACAAAATTGACTTGTTGTATTTGACAGGAAAGAGATAAAAGGTTCGGTTTCAAAACCAGCATCAAAAGATCATACCTTACAACAAGATATTGCATTTTCCATGACAGTGAGTTTACAGTGAAGATCTGCATTCACTAAGTGCTGAGCACAGGAACAATTGAGTAAAATGGATTTCCATAATGCATTGGTTGCAGAGAATGCTTGGTTGACTTTTGATTGCCATGATGTCCATGGGGTAAACATGCTAGGTAAGTTTGCTGGACTTTTGACTGATCTAATAAGGTCCATCTTCTCTGCCGTCACAGAACACCATAGCTACTGCCATAATCAGAGTTTGGCAGTGATTTCAGGTTCCTAAAACCTACTTGTCTATCCATACAATTCGCTGCATGACCTGTTGCATCATAGAAGTAATTCTCAAAGAAACAGTGATCATCCCACCCATTGGTTCAGGTTTTCACATGTTATGACACGGGAGTGTCT